GTTGCAAGTCCACGGTGTGCCAACACTGCAGCAAGTCGGCTGCACAGCGTTGCACCCGCAGGACAACGGTGCACCTGCTTCGCAGGTGCATGCAGCTGGTTGGTGCACCACTCCCCGTCACGTGCACAGCGCAGACGCCTAGATCGAGTCCACGCCAGTGACTGCGGCTGTTAGCCTCGTCGATCTCGAACTACCACCCCCGAGGTCGCCCTCGCAGAAACCACCCCGGCAACCTTTGCACACATCGACCGGGTATCCCGGTCGACTGGGCAACCATGCCTGGTCGTCTAGCCTAGTTGGTCGCCGGCTACACCAAACCGGCCGGCGTCCTGGCGTCCAGGTCGGCGTTCACGCGCCCAGGACGCCGAGCAGACGCCCAGGTCGGCGTCCAGGCGCCCAGGACGCCGTGCAGACGCCCAGGTCAGCGTCTAGGCGCCCAGGACGCCGTGCAGACGCCCAGGACGCCGCCTAGACGCCAAGGAAAGCGTTCTCCTACTTGGCGCCTTCCTGCCAGACGGCCTTCCTCTCAACGCCCTTGCAGTGGCCCCCGTGCCCACTGCTATAGGTCGGCGGCATCCCCCCGCACACCCGACCACGAGGTCGGCTCCGCCCAAGCGAGGACGGGGCCGAACACAACTCTCGTTGACACTCCCCTGCCGCGTTCACGCTTGGACCCCGAGCCCACACGGCAGCACTGCTCGGAGAATAGCTCGGCGGTGTGCACACAAATCACAACATATCGGACACCGCACCAGTCGTAGGGTACGGCACCTACTACTGCATGTCGTCGTCATCGTCGCTGACGCCAGCCAGGCGCACTTGGCCGATTGCGACGGAGCACCGGTTGAAGGCCGGATAGTGCAGCGCCTTCGTCAGGAAGTCGGCTGGCTGCTCGGTGGTCGGGATGTACTTCAGCGAAAACTTCCCGCGCTTCACCATGTGCTGCAGCCAGGCCTGTCGCCGCTCCATGTGCTTGAGGTTGCCCGTCAACCCCATGCCCTTGGCGACCATGATGGCCGACTTGTTGTCCACCCGAAGGACAGTCGGCTTCCCGACGTCCAGCTGCCAGAACTCTGCCAGGAAGTCGGCGTCCCTCCTTCCCGATCAGTGGCTGCGACGTACTCCCACTCGGTCAACGACAGCGTCGCGCACTTGATGCACTGGCTCGACTAGGAGACAGCGACCCCTGCGTAGATGAACACGTAGCCGCCCGTGCTCGTCCGGTTCTGCTTGTTGCCGGCATCATCGGTGTCAACGTAGCCGACCAGCTCCAGCGTCTCTGGTCCACCGGTGAACTCCAGGGCGGTGTCACGAGTGTTGGCGAGGTAGGCGAGGCAGCGGTCGACCTCGCACCAGTGCTGGTCGCTCCTCACAGTGAGGCCGCTCCCCAGCTTGCTGCAGGCGAAGGCGATGTCCGGCCTCGTCGTCGACACCGCAAACTGCAGCGACCGGACCTTCTGCCGGTACTCCTCTTCTTGGCCCTCCTGTGCCTCCTCGTCGTCGAAGGTGAGCTCGGCGTAGGCGTCGACGGAGACCGGCGTCTTCGGGGTCCGACCCTCCTGCTCCTCGCCGATGAAATGCCTACGCAGCTTGTCGACGTAGCCCTGCTGGTGCAGCCACAACTTCCTCGCCGGCCTGTCGCGCACGATCTCCAGGCTGAGATACTTCTGCACCAGCAAAATCTCGCGCAGCTCGAAGGCGGCTTCCAGCAGCTCCTTCAGCTCCTTCAGCATCGCAGTGCTGCTGCTGGCGGCGAGCAGGTCGTCGACGTAGACCAACACCCAGCAGGTGTGTGCAAGTTGGTGGCTGGGCAAGCCTGAACCTATGCACAGTTGAGGAGGGTAGGCTAATGGTTTTGAACAAGTGCCTTGACCTCAGACTAAAACACAAAACTGTGTAGTTGGTATAAAACAGTTATAATGGTGAGGTTCAGCTACCGTTCTTGCTGTACTGACGTTGGGTGCTTGATGAAACATGCTCCAAACTTTTTACATCTCTGTAAAAAACAAGATTTTCCATCACATTTCATTTGTATCAAAACGTGGGTATGCATGTACGCATGCGCAGCACCTTGCTGTCTAATCTAGGCAGCAGGGAACGATCCATGGGACGGAGGGAAGCGGTGAAGCAAAGGTGGGCCTGTGCATGCATGGGAAAGGGTACGATTCACACAGGTACTGCTGCATCACCCACCCATACAACGATTTTCTTAAGTAGCATACAGGAGGCAAGTACGGTGGGAGATAAAAATCATCATACAGTATCACATTCTACTGGTTCACTAGGCTTCACAAACAATTCTCCCATCTGTGTGTCGCTACACTTCTCCACGGTGATTGGTAAGATGGGCGGGGAACGCCATGCATCTCGTTCCAGCATACTGAAAAGCAGTAGAATAACAATTGCTGCTACCTCGTTACCACAGCCACACTCCACCCACTCAATGCGCCCACATGGCTGGTTACTAGTGTCGGCTTCTGCTGCTGTATGGCTTACCCCTCTGAGCCCAAGACGATTATGCTGCTATGGAGTGAAGGGAAAGCATGTGTGAGGGGCACATAGGAGGGGGAAGAGACCGAGGGAAGCGAAAAACATAGGAATGACAGTGCGAAGTGATGTGTGGTATGCGATGAGCCAACGAGGCCTTGGAAATGTGAGATGAGGAGTTGGACGACGTGTGGGACTAGGTGTGGGACGAGGTGATTGGAACTGTGGTTTCTATGCCGACCTTGCTGACCTTGCTGATTGTGTAATGCCCACTTAACAGGTTCCTCCTGTCACCCCTGGTACCTTAGGCTCGAGAAAATCAAGGCAATGAGAGCCAATCCTGCAAGACTGCTGCTGCAGCTTCTGTTGCTGTCCTTGCTGCTGCGATCGCCAGTCAGCATCAGCTGTCCACTCTCTCACACCCGTATGAAGGCCCACTCTCAATTTCCACAACGGACTCATGAGTCGCGACAACCGATGCAGCACATCTCATCTTGCCAACCACGACGCTCAACCCCGCCCCTTGTAACCCCACAGCGGTCCACCCCCATGCACATTCCCCTGAAGGCCCCTTCTGCTGCTGCAACGGAGAGCAGAGCCGTTACCTCCTTGACATTCTCGATCCTGGACTGGTGGGGCTGATTCAGGCGCATGTGACGAGAGACGGAGGTGAAGGAATAGGTAGGGGGAGGGGAGGGGAAGTGGAGGGGAAGGGGGAGGGAATGGGGAGAGAACGGGGAGCAGAAGGGTAGGGAAAAGAAAAAAGGGAGAGGAAGGGGAAGGGGAAGGGATGGAAAGAGGACGTAAAGATGAGGGGAAGGTGGTTGTTGCCTGGTGTATGAAATGAAAGAAGGGTACCTCCCACTCAACCATGCACTGGTGCCATATGGCACCACACGTGCCATGCACATGATGCACACACCATGCACACACCATGCACACAACATGCACATGCACGCATCGCCGCCAACCATCCACCTACCCATCCGGCTCACTCTCATGGGGGTGCGCATCTTGTGCCTCGCATTCTTCAGGAAGATGCTCTGGGAAGAGGTAAGAAAGCAAGCGCAGAAATGGAGGCAGGCATGGATGGCTGCCAGCCTTAACGCACATGAGTTGGGAGTAAGAGCTGGAAATGGAGAGGAAGGATAGGAGGGAGGAGGGGAGAGGGGAAGTGATAAGAAACAATCAGTTGCTGCTCGATACATGGGATGCATCATGTATACATACGCTAGATAGTGAATGAACGACTACGGTACTTACCTAGTACATGCGAATTTGGGAACATCCGAAGGCAACAGTCTAGCACTCAAAACCCCTTTTGTCGCACCGCGGCTCAGGTTGTGCACATCATTGACCTACCTGAACTAGGCAGAAAAATTGGACTGGACTGGCCTGATCCGGCGCTAGAAACCCCCGGCCACTACCCAGGCCAGGCCAGGGTGCTGGACCAGTGGGTGGGCTCGATCAGTGCAGGCGGACAGTTAATTCGGTCCGGCCGGGCCCATGCTCATGCCTAGGATGTGCATGCGCTGAGCTCCCCACCTCGGTTGAGTTAAGTCTAAGTCACCACCACCTCGCTTGAGATTAAGTCACCACCACCTTGCCAGTCTCTGCCATCTCCTGCCCGGCTCACACCCATTTCTAACCTGGGGTAGAGCGCAGGTGAGACGCACCTGAGAGCCATGGCGTGCAGGAGGGCCATTTGGAAATTGATCGGGTAGTAGGGGAGCAAGAGCGCAGGCGGGGTGCTGGTGGTGGGGGTCATGATGGGATGAGCCACAGCTCCTGCACTTATTGGCGGGTGGTGGAAAGGGGTGCTGGTGGGAGGGATGAAATGAAGCAAGTGAAGAGGGAGACGCAGCTCAGAAGACTGAGAGAAAGGGGTCTGGGAGGCGTGGGCTGAGGGGGAGAAGGGAGGAAAAGACGGGGTAGGTGGGGGGGAGCGGGAGGGAGGCGGAGCGGGAGGTGGGGGATGGGGGATGGGGGGAGCAGGAACTAGATCAAGGATGTGAGCCTACTCAAGACAGAGCCATAGAAAACACGGAACAACAGACAAACACATATAACAGTGGAGATTTACAGGTACTTTTTCATTCAATCCTGAAGAATGAAATGAGCGGCAGATGAACAGATACGAGGCTAGAGTATGAACATACGAGAATAAAGGTGATAGTGAACCTTTAAGTTTAGAGGGTCAGGTGCAAGGCGTTTGGGTAAAGCAAGAAGTCTATGTTGATGGAGGGAAGTGGGAGTGGAAAAGGCGGTGGGGGAGGAGCAAATTACATGCAAATTTGCAGTGAAGGGGAAGTGGACAAGGAGGGTAGTGGCGGTGAAAAGGAGAGAGGTAACAAGGAGAGGTGGTGGGATGAGGCAGCGGCCTCTAGAGAGGCAAGATCCAGGGGCCAGTAGACAAGCAATGAAAGGGAGAGTAGGAATCGTATTTTGTTGCTATATCATGTACAGTTCAAACAAACATGCGCAGTACATCAGCACATACACAGCAAATGAGGCTACGGTTCACGAGGGCGTTTCTTAAAGCCCTCAGACTCCTTGACCCACGAGCTCCAGCTGTTGGGGTACTGCTTCTGCCCCCACGCCTCGTCCTCCAGACCAGCCCGCACCAGCTCCAGCGCCTCCTTCACCTTGTCACCACCCAATTTGCTCTTCTTGAGATCCTCAAACGATTCCGGGCAGACCTTGCCAGTCCTGACAGTGAGCCTGTCACGAAGCGCCGTGAACCCAATGCGGGCCCCAATGGTGCCCAGGATGCGTATTCGGAAACAGCAATCATCAGCCCTTTTTGTCGACGCATCGCCGTATCCTCTGCATCTGTGAGGGCGTATTTCCTGGTAAACAACCCCCTAGCCACCTCGCCCCGCAATGTCAATCCTGGCTCACCAAAACGCGAGTTCCATATTTTCCACGCGCCATGGGCAGTGGACGCCTTGACCCACGGCCGGAACATGTGCTTCTTGAAAGCCTCGTCCTCCTTGCTCAGGTGGGCCTGAGGGTTGGGGTTGGGGCTATCAACATTCGGTGGGGCGGTAGCATCAGCCAAAACCGCTTCTCCTGTTCCAGCCTCCTTACAATACTCTCTCACATCCATTTCTTGTGTTCTCTTCTTCCATTGCTCTGCCATAGCACTCCTGTGTTCAGTCAGTTCCCTCTTCGTTGCAGTCAGCTCGCCCTTCACTTCAACCAGCTCTCCCTTCACTGCTGCCAGCTCTCTCCCTTTCTCCTCCACCACAGCAGCAGTCGTCACACTCCTCTCTTCCACGACACCCAGTGCACGCCTCAACTCATTCACCTCGTTCTCCGCATCAGCATTCTTCTCCTCCAGCATCAGCACTCGTTCTTTCTGACGGGCCACCTCCTCCCTAACTGCCTCCAACTCTCCCTTGACTGCTGCCAGCTCCCCCTTCACTGCTACCAACTCCCCTCTCACCATTCCGAACAGCCCTTTCATCGCTTCAGCTATTGCAACGGCCTCCCTCTCCATATCCATCACCATCACTGCTCGAGTTGAACGGACTAGCTCCTTACTTTGGAATGGCCTAAGTGTATGAGGCTGTGGCACATCGATATTGGGTGGAGGTGGACGCATGGAGGTAAACAAGGACCCACGGATGAAAAAATGGTAGAGGAGTGGCATCCAATCGATTAAGAAATAAACAAGCAATCAGTCAGTGGCTGTTTTGTTTCACTCCAATTGGTCAAGTATGCGGCCTCTCCCTGTCCAAACCAAACTACTCAGCGGAAGCAAGGCGATCGCTTATCGAGTAATCCAATATTTGTTTTCTAACATCATTGCGAGAAAGCTTTCCTCACGACCTGCCCCCAGCACTACATGCCAGAGGGGGACAATTTAGCTCGGGTTGGTCTTCACGTCACATATCACTTTATTTCCTTTTCCATGCCTAGTAGGTTCAGTTTGCCTCACACGTCACATGTCAATGATTACCCGATTGGCGTTCAGGTTGCCCTAAGCGTGTCCGCCTCCATGCATGACTTAAATGACTATTTACTGCACTTTTCCCATCAGCGCGCTAAATCTTTGGGAACGTTAAATGGAGATGCGGTGTGCATAGGTACGAGTATGAGAGAAACAGAGGGCAGGGTGCGTCAACGGACTCAATAGCATCGGCGACGAATTTGCGGGGTATACCGGAATGAGAGCAGAAATGAATGAATGGACGGAACCGGCCTTGCTTTGGCCTGTTTAGGGTTTCATAGATTGGAATGTCGTGAGGCTATGACGTCTAGGCTTCGTCAACAAATGAATGTGCATCGATCATTCCAAACGATCTGAAGTGCGCAGTAGTTGTAATACTTGCTCAATGAAATGACATGCTTACGGTAAAAGAAGAGAGGCAGCGGCCAACTTGAAATGACGCAGGCTCCCGCTGAGCGTCTCTCTGAGAGGTATAGAGACGAGCAGCAAAAATAGCAAGACGAGGGAGGGATACTGCAGGATGACTGAGCTAACTGAGACGCGGGTTCGGAAAATATAAGGCGCTATTGATTAGTAGTAACGCGGCTCGTTGAGCTTCTGATAAGATGGTGATGAGCATGCGAAGGGCTTGTGCTCGACTTGTATCAGGAAAATCCTCCTCCAATGATTTTGCAAGTTCTACTGCAATTCAAAGGTGTTGAACACGATTCAGGGAGGTAACCGCTGCATCAGAAGTTCCGTGGGCAAAATCAAATTTCCCGTAAGCCGAACAATATGCAGCTGTGTAACTGGTGATAAGGTTATTTCGCAAATTGGGCCAGGACTGGTGAAACCTCACGGCAAAGTTTGTTGCGAGCAGATTCAGCGATTTGAGAATAGCTCTTCGTCGAATTTTGCATCGAGGTTCCTTGTCGCATTTCCCCCTTACAATCATCCCCGATTATCACTTCGTAGTCGGACTATTACCAGCGGCGCTACTTGTCAAACATTATATATGTTGTGTTTGTTTAGGCTACAGTGGGTTAGCCTATAGGGGGTACACAATTCTAGGGTTAGGTACTTGTACTGATTTCACTGTTAGTTCAACCATTCCTGTCCGTTCATTCTGACATGGTATCAGAGCAGGTCCGTCACTAGGACCGTTTTAGGGCCCACCGTTACCTACCTACCTACCGTGCGCCCTCGTGCGCCTACGCGCCCTAGTGCGCCTCCTACCTACCGCGCGCGCGCAGCCCGCCAGCCACCCGCGCGCGGCTCGTCTTTTTTTTTTTTTTTTTAACGCGCGCGACCCGCTAGCCGCCAGCCCTCTGTCGCCTCTGCTGCTGCTGTCGACCTCCTTGGTGCTGAGAAGGTCGGGACCGCGTCTGCTCCGAGCGGGCGCCGCAGGAGCAAGGGGGGCAAGGGTGGAGGTGGTGGCGGGGGAGGCGGGGGTGGTGGCGGTGGGGGTGGAGGTGGGACTGGAGAGGCTAGTGGCGGCAGTGGGGGTGGTGACAGCAGCGGCGGGAGCAGTGGCAGGGGCGGAGGCGGCAGCGGAGGCGGAGGTGGTCGTGGCGGCGGCAGGGGTGGAGGTGGCCGAGGCGGTGACGGCGGCGGTGGTGGTCGTGGAGGCGCTGGCGGTGGCCAGAGCCAACAGCACGCCCCGTCGCTCCAGGAGGCACGTGAGTGGTACTCGCAGCGGGGGGGGGCGGGTGGCTTTACCTGCACGTACGTCATCCGCACTGGTGACCGCACTGGCCAGACGTGTGGGAGGCCGCACCCCACGCACCGCTGTTTCTCGCGCCTTACCGACGCTTGGCGCGCTCAGTTCCCTGGCGGCGCTGAGCTTCCCCGCTGGGGTGATCTGGAGAGGAAGGGAGTTGATATCTGGGCCTTAGACTTTGATGCTATTCTCACTGCCATGTATGCGATGTTTACTAGTGGAGAGGGTGCTCAATACTTGCGTGTTCCGCCCGACCCGGGCATTCTGACCAGTCCGGCTGCCGCTCTAGGTGCTAGTGAGTCTGCTGCCCCAGGTCCTGGTGAGGCTGCTGCTCTAGGTGCTCGTGAGTCGGTCCCCCCTGGTACTGAGTCGACTGCAGCACTTCACACCTTCACACTGGACTCTGGTGCTTCTCGCTGTTTCTTTCGTGACCGCACTGTCCTTGAGCCACTCACTCGGCCAGTTGCTGTCTCCCTCGCTGACCCCTCTGGGGGTCCGGTCATTGCGACCTCCTCCACTGTCCTTCCTTGTCCTGCGGTCCCGTCAGGCACACTGTCAGGCCTCTACCTCCCCTCGTTCTCTACGAACTTGGTGGCAGGTCGTGCGCTCCAGGACGGGGGTGTTCACCAGTTCACCCCTGCATACGAGCGCGTGACACACTGCACGTGTGCTCGGACGGGCCGCCACCTGGCTACCTTCACTCGAGAGCCGGGGTCGGACCTGTACACACTGACCACTGAGTCCCCTCAGGTAGTTGCGTCTGCGTCTGCGTCTGCGTCAGGTCAGCTGTCCGCCCCCTGCTCGTGTCGCTCTCTGGCGCATGAGACTGTCCTCTGGCACCACCGCCTTGGTCACCCGTCTGTGCAGCGCCTTCGGGCCATGCACAAACGGGACCTTGTTGCTGGTCTTCCCAGGGTTCTCCCTCCCCTCCCACCCTCGCCTGCTCCTCCCTGTCTTCCCTGTGTCGAGGGGCGGCAGCGCGCCGCTCCTCACTCCTCCTCCTTTCCCCCGACGACTGCTCCTTTGCAGACGCTCCACATGGACGTGTGGGGCCCAGCCCACGTCCGTGGTCAGGGTCAGGAGAGGTACTTCCTGATTGTTGTTGACGACTTCTCGCGCTACACCACGGTCTTCCCCTTACGCACCAAGGGTGACGTCCCTGATGTCTTGATCCCTTGGATCCGCAGATCTCGTCTCCAGCTCAGTGAGCGTTTCCGCTCCGACTTCCCTGTCCTGCGTCTGCACTCTGACAGAGGTGGGGAGTTTTCCTCTGGCCTCTTGGAGGCCTTCTGTCAGCAGGAGGGCATTGAGCAGTCGTTCACGCTTCCGGCCTCTCCACAGCAGAACGGGGTTGCTGAGCGCCGCATTGGCTTGGTCATGGAGGTCGCTCGTACCTCCTTGGTTCATGCGGCTGCCCCCCACTTTCTGTGGCCGTTTGCAGTCCGATACGCTGCGCATCAGCTCAACCTCTGGCCCCGTGTCTCCTTACCGGAGACTTCTCCGACACTGCGTTGGACGGGAGAGGCTGGCGATGCGTCGCGTTTTCGGGTCTGGGGATCCCGAGCTTTTGTTCGCGACACGTCCGCGGACAAGCTCTCCCGTCGCGCTGTCCCCTGTGTCTTCCTTGGCTTTGTCCTGGACGCGCCTGGTTGGCAGTTCTACCACGCCACCTCGCGTCGTGTCCTGGCCTCTCAGGACGTCACTTTTGACGAGTCCGTCCCCTACTACCGCCTCTTCCCCTACCGCACTGCCCCACTCCCCCCCCCGCCTCTCTTCCTGGCTCCAGGTGCTGAGGTACCAGACCCCCTCCCCCCTCAGGGTGCCGCTCCCTCAGGTGTGTCCCAGGTAGACCCGGGTGAGCCTGTCGAGGTAGCTGTTGACTCTCGTCCTGCTGGGGGTGCTGAGCCTGGGGGTGCTGAGCCTGGGGGTGCTGCGTCTGGGGGTGCTGAGCCTGGGAGTGCTGAGTCTGGAGGTGCGGAGCCTGGGGGTGCTGAGCCTGGGGGTAGTGAGCCTGACGGTGCTGAGTCTGCGGGTGCGGAGCCTGGGGGTGCTGAGTCTGGGGGTACTACACCTGGAGGAGCCCTCTCCTCACAGCGGCTGCAGGAGCGGTACCTACAGTACTGCCGCCTCCGGAGAGGTACTGCTGGAGCTGGTCGCGGTGCTTCCCCTCCTGCCCGGGAGCTCCCCCCCCTCCAGCAGATCCGAGAGTGGTACACGAGGCGCTGCCGTCTCCTCCTGCGTCCTCTCTGCCTACTCTTCCTGACCCGGAGTCTGACTCCCGTCGTGCTGCCAGTCCCACTGTCACCCGTCTCCTCGCTACTGTTGTCACTGACCCTACCTTTGAGTCCTCTGCTGCGTCTGCTCTGGTCGCTGAGTTGATAGACTTTGCTGCCCGGTGTCGTCTAGACTACGCCACTAGCCTTGTTGCTGAGTCTGAGTCTGAGTCTGTCTGTCCTCCGTCCGACGGGGGTGAGTGTGCTCTTGGCACGGACGTCCTTGAGGACAGACAGGAGGAGTTCCAGTGCTTTGCTGCTGCTTTGCCCCACCTCGTGTCCATGCTAGTTGCCCCTGAGGGAGACCCGGATGCACCAGACATCCCGACCTCGCGCACTTACGCTGAGGCGATGGCGGGTCCCTACTCCTCTCAGTGGCAGACAGCCATGGACGCAGAGATGGCTTCCTGGAAGTCCACAGGCACCTACGTCGACGAGGTTCCCCCACCTGGGGCGAACATCGTCAGTGGCATGTGGATTTTCAGGGTGAAGCGGCCACCGGGTTCTCCTCCTGTCTTCAAGGCGCGCTACGTGGCTCGAGGCTTCAGTCAGCGAGAGGGAGTTGACTTCTTCCAGACCTTCTCCCC